AGAACAACCAAACTGTAAGTCCATTATACATCAAATTATGTGTAATTTATATAATAACTTATCCATGCCTGTACAATAGGTATGTTCCTGCATAAACAGGAAGGAATATATTATTATTATTAAAACAATATTTATGCATGCCTATACAATTGGTGTACCCTACATAGCTAGGGAAAAAGATGTACTTTATTATATTATCTTTACTAAATATGCTTATCAATATTATGTGTAAATTATCGAATTGATGATGCCTGTAAACTGGCGTCCCTCATGTAAAAAATGAGAATATATATTATTATTATTATTATATTGTTCTGCTGAATCTTGCTTCACTATTCACAATACCTATTCTTTTTATTCTTTGAGGTTTTAACTTCAGGTAAAGTAATCTGTTCATTAGGACACATGCATACATATGTAATATGTTCATAAAGATGTATGCGGAGACCTATTGAAAGCACTCATTAAGAAAGCTAGGGAAATGGAATATGGGGTACGAACATGTCTGGTACCAAGCAGTATATTTGCAGTGGCCATAATAATCATATTCTCAGAGCTTAACATCAAAAAAGGAGGGAGGGTGGTGCTAGCTGATCAGTAGATATGGTGGTGGTCACCAAGGTGAATCACCCCATTCTGCAGGAACATCAATATGCAATTTGACGGCTCGAGATATTTCTGATTTTTATGAGGGCCTAGATCTCTATCTTGAAAAAGATAATAATGAACGCCTTGACAGATCATGCTTCTACCTTTAAATATATACTATTCGCCCAGCCTATTGTTGAGATGCGACCATGTGGGCTCAGCACAGATTTATGGGGCATCTTATAAATCAACTTGCTATCCATTGTCAGATCTTTATATACCACTTCACAATGTCTTATCTCATTCATTTTCTAATAACGTCTTTACTTGATCCTCATTATATTCCATTAAACCTAACATTTTATAGCTCTTTATGAACTTGATTCGACTTATTCTATTCCTATTCTCTGTAGGGTACGGTTGTGCACCAAATGCACAAAAAAGCATAAAATAAAAAAACCGACATAAGGAAAAAATGTATGAAAGCCAAAAGTGGACATCATGATAGTACGAGATATACGCGTAGCATTATACATTGCAAATGAACGTTGTCAGCCTAGGGAGTTTTCTTTATTAATGCATTTATTAGTGATACTTGCACTTACCCACTTCATTACACTTTATTGATTCACCTTAGCACTTTAACTTTTCTAAAAACAGCTTTCAATCCCTTGTAAACGTTGTACTTACCTCAATTTTGGTTGGTTATCTTATGCCGACAACCACGGGATGAAAACGAAACGAAGTCCATTTTCCCGCTCAACCTGGAGGACAATTGTACAATTCAATAACTATACAGCCTAGTTCAGACAATGTGTATTTATATATATATATCAAATATTTAACTGTTGAAACATTATTAACTTGCAGACAATCTACGATTTGATATTATATCATACTTGATCGTGCCTGTAAAATTGGCATGCATTTTCATGTAAATTTATATGTTTATATGAGAATATACATTATTATTATTATAATTCCTGTCCAAACACACATACGGTGGAAGACACACTTATATGATAACTTCTCTTCCCAAAAAAGGTTCTGTTAGAGTTTATAAGTGTTTTCCATGTAGTGAAAGCATTCTCTTGTCAAATAGTACTGTTCTTCACACAAAAATATGCCGCATTGATATATACAGATATGAAATCTTTATTGAATGATACTACGCCGAAGGCGTCGGTGGCACAGCGGCTAGGACCCTCGCCGACTATACACATGGTCCAGGATTCGATCCCCGGCCGACTCACTCCTATACCTCGCTAAGCCCAAAATAATGCCGGTAAAGAGGAAAGGTTGTGCATGAAGCTAGCGAACCCATCCTATAAAATTAAACACTGCTACAGAAACTTTAAGCCACTAGCTTGAAGCCCAATGTTTCACTGGAAACTTGAAGGAAAAAAATGCCGAAAGCTGCAGCTTCTGCATGAAGTAAATACTAATAATAATTTTTATTTTCGTATAAACATAAATTTATATGAAATTGTGTGCCATTTTTACAGGCACGATCAAGTATGGTATAATGTCAAATCTTAAATTGTCAACAAGTTAATAGTGTTTCAACAGTTAAATATTTGATATATATATAATTACACTCATTGTCTGAACCAGGCCGTATAGATATTGAATTTTACAGTTGTCCTCCAGGTTGAGCGGGAAAATCGACTTCGTTTCGTTTTCATCCCGTGGTTGTAGGCATAAGATAACCAACCAAAATTGAGGCAAGTACAACGTTTGCAAGGAATTGGAAGCTGTTTTAGAAAAGTTAAAGTGCTAAGGTGAAACATTAAAGTATAATAGATTAAGTGAGTGAAATATATCATTAATAAATATATTTATATAGAAAATAGAATGGGGAAGTAATTAATCCTTAGGCCGACAACGTTCATTTGCAATGCATAATGATACCAATATTCTTCGTACTATCATGATGTCCACTTTTGGCTTTAATACAATTATTTTCAAGCCAGCTGTTTTTATTTCATGCCTTTTTGTGTATTTGGTGCACAACCGTACCCTCCAGAGAATAGGAATAGAATAAGTCGAATCAAGTTCATAAAGAGCTATAAAATGTTAGGTTTAATGGAATATAATGAGGATCAAGTAAAGACGTTATTAGAAAATGAATGAGATAAGACATTGTGAAGTGGTATATAAAGATCTGACAATGGATAGCAAGTTGATTTATAAGATGCCCCATAAATCTGTGCTGAGCCCACATGGTCGCATCTCAACAATAGGCTGGGCGAATAGTATATATTTAAAGGTAGAAGCATGATCTGTCAAGGCGTTCATTATTATCTTTTTCAAGATAGAGATCTAGGCCCTCATAAAAATCAGAAATATCTCGAGCCGTCAAATTGCATATTGATGTTCCTGCAGAATGGGGTGATTCACCTTGGTGACCACCACCATATCTACTGATCAGCTAGCACCACCCTCCCTCCTTTTTTGATGTTAAGCTCTGAGAATATGATTATTATGGCCACTGCAAATATATTGCTTGGTACCAGACATGTTCGTACCCCATATTCCATTTCCCTAGCTTTCTTAATGAGTGCTTCCAATAGGCCTCCGCGTACATCTCTATGAACATATTATATATGTGTGCATGCATCCTAATGTACAGATTACTTTACAAGAAGTTAAAACCTCAAAGAATAAAAAGAATAGGTATTGTGAATAGTGAAGCTAGATTCAGCAGAACACTACAGTTAGGGATCAATGTAGGTAGTATGAACTGAAGGTAAGTTCGGTTGGCAGGACTTAGTGTACTTATATTTAGTAAACATCTGACATTGCAAAGTAACGTGTAAAGTGATATTGTAAAGAGATATTAGCACAGAACGAACAAAATTTTAGCATTTGGTTAGGAGTACTGCAGTGTGTGTAAACTGAAGAATGGTAGTCAGTCTACAGGGAGTCGTAGAGTAAATCAAACCATATATGATAAGAGTATAGTCAATAATATAATTCGTATATCAAATAATACACCAGGCTCAATAATTGAGTGTTATAAGGGAAACTAGCGTGGTAAAGCAAGAGAACATTTGATGCATAAATATTTTAATCATTTTAAGTATTTTAATAACAATGTAATTTAAGAATTGAACATGCATGATTAATAAGTATTATTACATTAGTATATACATATGTAAAATGTTAAAAGGTTTGCATGTTATTATAATTATTTCCAGTGTTACTTTTACCAACAAAACTTAGTGAAAATTATAGGGAATAGAAATCAGTAAATTAGTTAACGTTCGCTGCGTGAGTATTAGAGTCGAGATATACGTATGTGACTATATTGAAGACTGGACTGGCCTTCAATTTCCGTTCTACCAACAGTTGTGGTCTTTTAGACAAGCTAGGGTGGACATACTAAAGTGTCTTTACAGGCTCCGTTTGAACCCATCAGGGTTTTCACAACATCTTATTTCAGGTGTTAGTTGGTTCCAAAGAATGCAATATTTTATGGTGAAAAAGTTTGCCCTAATGGATTTTCTGTGGGTAGCCACCTTGACAAGGTAGTCGTGGTTTCGCAGCTGATATGATTTAATATTTTCCCACGTTATGGATGAGTTACTGTAGCAATGTTTCCTAATGACTTTGAAAAGTAGAAATAAGTTGCACTTCACTCTCCTTAACCACAGAGTCTCTAATTTCAGACGTACACACCTGTCAACATATTCCACTTGTTTTTCGAACCCTATTATGCGTTTCATGAGGAATCTCTGGACACTTTCGACTTTTTTTGTCTGCAGACCTGAGGCTACTAAATAGGAGAGCACAATATTCAAGTTTGAGACGGATACATGTCCTACATATAGCTAATCTTGCTTCTTGGGTGTAGAAGCTACGCAGTACAAAGCCAGTAAGTCGTTTACAGTCAGATACAACCTTATTTGCATGATCGGAAAATGATTTGCGTAGATAATATTACCCTCAAACTATCCCATCTTCCTTATTATAGCGCTGTTTTGACACAGTTTGCCTGAAACACCAATCATTGCAACCAATATGATAAGAGTGTGTCGCAGTCACATTACATGACGCGGACCCCTACATAACTGGGCAGGAAATGAGAATTCCTATCAATCCAAAAAGCACACAACAAAATTTTTTGAAAAAGTTATTGGCAAAAATAATTTACTGAGTGAAATTTCATCCAACATGCGGGATAAGTCCAGCTGCATTTTACCTTGATAAAGACAACCAGATGGTTGCATGGAATATAGCAGACAATTTTTCTGGCCATCATTATAATAACTTAAATAGCTGAATGATATGGTATAAACGTCTGTGGTATAACATGAACGTATTCATCCTGAAACTAAATATAGAAACCATAACCTAAATTCCTGATCAGCCTGACATTTTTGGCATTGGACGTTGTACGCATTTGGTACCACATTTATTGAAATTAGCAAGGTCACAAGTCCTCAAGGTTGGAGTGAAGGACAACGACGATATCAAGGGTATATGTACAGTTATGGTGTACAGTGACTGTGGAAATACTGTTGTTCTGAACGAACTTGAATCTCTCATCAAAAGTCAGATACAGAAAGCTGAGTCAAGAAAATGGGCTAACTTTGTATATCCTAAAGAAGCCGTGAGATTAACTCGTATGTTGCACTTACCCAGTGTAATTGCCTTTATAGCTGGGAGTTGTTTAGTAGATCCACATTTTAACAGTTTTGTTTGTAAGGCAGTTGGAGAATTGTGTATTAAACTAGATGAAAGTATGACAGTTTCATGAACTTGATCTTAATTTTCAGTCATTGGTGAAGCTCTACATCCCGAGTATGGCAGCGTCCGGATATCAGCGATTGTACGAGATCTTGAGCGGAAAGTTGGAAACATATACAGTCAGTTCACAGAGAAAGGCTCTAAAATAACAAATCAGCCACCAGTGTCGATCAAGTTGGGTGAGTTTCAATAGAAAGTGGCTACAGTCAGTTTCTAGGTCATGATGGGTTCCTGCGTCGGCTGGTTATATGTTTTCGTAAATTTGTCTTCTATTGAATTTTAAAGGTTTTTTTGGATGTTTTGTTCATTTTGCAGTGTGTTGGTCAGTTTTTGTCACTGGATGCTTATTAGCCTGAAGTTCCCAGTTATTATGTTGGTAGTCAAAGATTATGGTAAACCTGCAGTCATTGAGCCAATTAACGTATACAAAGCTAATATAGTAACATTATTTAATAATTAAACTTCCTAACTGCTTTGCCATTGTCTGACAGTGAAACTGTGCGCTGGTTTTCCAGCATGGGTGGCACTAACTTGAACCTACTGGGTTCGCTTATCAACGTTATTCCAGCCCTCACAGGACATATTAAGCATAGACTAGCGTTACTTTAAAGCGGAAAGTTTTGATTCAGCACGCAGCCCTCTTTTTAACCACGACCTTTCTCATTTCAGAACATAGTGGGCAAATAAGATCTTCAGTTACCATAAAAAGGCATTATCGAGAAATAGGTTAGAATAAGTTTAGAATTGTTGTAAGCTTGGTGGTGCTGCAGTCTAAGCGATAAATCGTATTAATCACCGTTATTCAGGATATTCTATGAACCAGATATTCTCGACTGAAAAACGTAGTAAATAAGACACATCGGTATAATTTATAACTGACTCCAAATCGCTCTCTTCACGAAACTCAACAGAAGTATGCTTTAAACTGTCGCTCTCAGTCATTTGAAGGGGAATTTACTTGATTTATGCTGACCTAGTATGCACAAATCCCACAGGTCAATGAACTGACAACTTAAAAATGTAGATTAGCTAATACATACATATATCTATATGTGCTAATTAAGGAAACATTGAATGTTTACAAATTGTAGTTGAATTATATTCGCCTAGTAAGCAAAAATGCATACATCCTATTTTGGACTTAAAAAAATGCATTGAAATTACTGTTGATTTATATTCACTTACTAGACATTCTCATACATCTCAATGTACTTTAAACACCACCAGTGCATCCAAATAGCGTGTGACTATCACACTGTACTTATACCAAAAATATTAACACGCCATTATGTTGTGGTAAGATAAGTCCTAAATCACACTGACTGTAAATTTCCGTGCCAAAATAAAAAGATTGCCGCTTCAACTTATATTTTAGACCTATAGGAAGCCAGCTAGCCAACAGCCAATCAGAATCTGCCTGAATCTATTTTCTTTCAATATGACAAAATATATGTTTCTGTTAGGGTCTTAATAATGCCAAACCATAATGTCTAATCTATAATATTGTATTGTCTGTAAATTTGGCGTTCGTGATTTTTCAACTTTTTGTGTAATGAAGTAGTTGTGAGATATGTGCTCAAACTAGTCTCAAATTGATGTGAACATTATTATCAGAGAAATAGGGTTCTGTACAAAATAGATTGGGGTCTTGTAAACTGAATCAAAATTTAGGTATTAAGGACCTACTTGGCATGCATAAAGAACCGGTTCACAGGTGAATGTTTGCTTGGAGAAAATCTGTAATTCCTAGTGTGTGCTAGACATTAGTTGGCGTCTGTAGTAGTTGCTTATAAATAAAGTCAGTAGAGAGTCAAGTTTTTACTAAAGAATGTTCCTCATCTGTGCATTCTAAGTAATTACCCTATCGTCTTAAAAGTGATAGAATGCTTCAGTTGCATTTGCCTTCACAGGGTGGAGACAGCATTCTGATATGTACTATCAATTGCATGGAGCATTTCATCATGAGCTGACATCACTTAGAGAACCACTGGAAAAACCTGGGAGAACTGGAGAACTCTTTCGTCCTAGTTTGGGACTCTTCCGTAGTACGCACCCACCGGGGTTCGAACCCAGGACCCTTTGGTTACAAGGCGAGCTCGTAGACCTTTCAGCCAGTGGGACCCAGCCACTGTCATCTCATGATGAAATCCCCTATGCAATCAAACAAAATCCCTACAAAACCAATACTTGAAAGTATACTACCAAGCTATGCTTTTCATTTATAGCCTATGCATTTAAATTTTTTAAAAATCTTTATTACAGCTGGATTCCACGTAGTATTTTGGTAGAAGTGTAGACTTTTTCAGCATGTGATATCGGTAGCCTAAATTTAGCAGGCCGACCATTGGTATCAAGTGTGAGTCGACCGGGGACCGAACCTCAGACCACGTGGATGGTCGGCGAGCGTCCTAACCGCTGTGCCACCGACGCACCATCAAAGCGTATGTCTGAGGTGGAATGACAGCAGTTGTAGGGCAGCCGGTTAGCGCATTGCTTCCTCAAGACGACTGTAAGATAAAATCAGTCTGAATGATCTCTCGCTGGAGCTACTACGTTACTGGTCATCATCCGTATTATTGGCAGAATTGATTGATGGGTGATTCTATATTATTTTATTCCTCAACGTTCCAAGTGGAACATAGGGCTTCAAGCTAGAGCTTTGAAGTTTCGCAGTATTGATGTTTATTTCTACGAGATGGGGTTGTTAGCCTCATGCCCTACAATCTCCCTTTTTTACCAGTCATATTACTGACTTAGTAAGGTAAAGGAGTGCTTCGGTGGCCGAGGATCAAACCCCGGACTACATGAGGCGTGGTTAGCGAACATTCTATCGCTGTGCCATCGACGCGATTCTATATTGAAGTCGCTAAATTCGATCAGTCGTAAGAGATCTAGTATGGAATAGTGCAAAAGTGGATGATAAATACACACATATGTAGTCCGTTTGTTTGACTTTTCATTTTAATATCAGTTTACCTAGTTTCTCTGTTAATCTTCGTTTGTCTAAATCACTAATTTATCATGTTTGACTTAAGAATGGTTTGTTTAGCTTCGTAATTTTTTTTTTAATTCGTGTGTCATAAAGTCGTAACTCAGTGGTTCAGCGTTCAGCTTTGCGAATTTTAATTAAATTTAAGCGCTGCTTCGTTTACCCTAGTTTAATTAACTGACTAGTGTTGCTACCCAAGTAGCCTAGTGATGAATTCCCTGACTTCGACAGTGAGTGACACGGATCTAAATTTGAGGGTTTACATGGAACAATAATGTCTCAGCTGGTGGCATAGTGCATGAACTTGGATTTCGTTATGAAGTTGTATCATGATATTTTGACTAAATATAACAAAGGATGCATTCATTGTTCAGCAATTTACTCCGTACTTCTGTCTGGGTGTGAAACATGATTAAGACTGGGAGACTAAGATTTGTCTGTCTTCTGTCTCCTGTGTTAAGTGGTATACTATACCAAATAACATTGACTGAGATTAAACACAGAGAGGGGAAAACCACTCACTGAGTTTTTTAGGCTATATTAGCTGAGATAATTAAGACGCGTTACTCACGACAGTCCATCCCCTTCCTCGTCAAGCCACATTATCTGATATTGGATTAAGTTGAAAAAAGAGTTAAGAGTGATCAAGTCAAAAGCTGACGTCAGTCTGTGAAGTTTCTGACTGTTAGTTTGAGTCAGTCAAGTGGCGGAGGTGTATACTGTTCGACTGGGGTCTTCAAGGAGTAAAGACCATTGGCTAGAGAGTAAGGGGACGTAACTGAGCGTTGGTGTCAGTAGCGTGGGAACGGTTTATGAATTCCTTTATCCATTGAATTGTGATTATTCCCTATGTAGTTCGTATTTCTCCCCGAAAATTTCTATTCATCATAAATCCTTAGCACTTCTTCACACCACCATTTTACTTTGCAAAGTGCTGCTGCAGCTTGATTTGTTGCAATTTTGTACAAAGTTCTTCATCGGAAACTGTCAGTCAGATAATGCTGTCTGTTTTCGACATAGAACTTTGCACCAATGTGCACCAGTTCAAGTCTCCACACTCCTTCCATGTAGCACACAAACCAAGAGAAGAAAGTAGAAGAATATTACAGTAAACAGAGGTGTGAGACAAAAGAATAGTAATAACGAAGAACAATGTAGTTTCATTTGAAATCATAAGTCACAAGGAGCGGATGCATCTGCGCTAGCCATTGAAAACGATTTTGAGTCATACTATCAATTATTCCCAGCCACTTCATTTTACCCTCCCGAGGACCCCAACCAGGAAGTCTACGCCTTCCTACGTGGCTGACTGGCTTAAACTAACTGTTGTGGATTTTATTGACTGGTGTCATGTTTTGGTTTGATCACCACTGGCTTCTTTTCCAGACTGATCCTATGTCAGCTAACATTTCCCGTCGAGGAAGGCTATGGGTAGGCGGGCATACGTAACACATGTCCTAACCATCTCAGTCGATGTGACTTCACAGCCTCGTCTATTGATTTCCTCTCCTTACCTACCACTCGACTGAAGTCTAACTTCAATATTGCTCATCTTATTATATCACTTTACACAGGAGATAGAACGCAGGCACCTATGATCAAAAACAGCTAGCCTTTTCATGTCAGATAAGGAGAAGATCTGAGGAGAAGCATATTTCGTTGAGAAGCAAAATCCATTAAAAACAACTTTTTCAATTTTTTATTTGGTTTTAAAGCATCTTTCATTATATTTTTCAATCCTAACGTTATCTAAAATCATGAATATTTTAAATTTTTTAACATTTTTTTTAGGTAGTGTTTATGCTTGGGCACGTGAACAATCTGGTGTAGATTTTAATGGTCTTCAAATGTGTTCAGATCTGAGAAGAAATCGTCTACGGTTATGTCGTAAACTTTGTCGTTTAGTACGTTTATCCAAGTCATCTAAACAACGCAGTAAATCGCATCCATTATTGTCTAGCCTTAAACATGATCTCATGAAAATACGTTCACGTGCTGCTGGAAAAGTGTTTTCAGAAAAACCTGTCACACTGACCTCTCATACTCTAGGTAATCAGACATGATTATTATTTTTATTGTTTCACATCTTGTGTGATACTTCTTCTGGGCTCAGTTTATGTGTGACATGCGTAGTTTTGCCTTTATTATCATTAAAAAGAATTCTGGTCAAGTGAAGACTCATTTAGGAAGGCGTGGTAATCAGTACGAGGTTACACTTTTCAGTATAGTTAATATATGTGTAAAACTTAGGCACTGTGGTGGTAGTAAGTAATTCCATATCAGTTTGTTTATTAGATATATCACACACATTAAGTGAAACAGTATTACTATTTACTGGATGACAATGTTTCGAACACAATTCATTATTGTTCATAATCATCCCATCAATTGTAATCACACGACTTTGAAACTTGAGTTTTATAGTTTCCTTTGTTCTCTCCTATTTGTTGTCATAGGGGTAGTAGAATTTTCCAGATATCTGTATGGAGAGGTTTTGAATCATTCCTATTACATGTATTTACAGTTGATTCGATATTAATGACGATATGCATGTCAAATATGCGCATGACAACACCAACAATAAGGAATCTAAGTCATCAGTAGTAATTCCATACAAGGAAGGAACCTCAAAAGCCTTACGCAGAATTCTTAACAAGACAGGAATAAAAGTGGTTGGCATTCATACCCACAAACTCAATTAGAAACAAGCTTTGTCGGTTAAAAGGATCAATCCTGTGGAGCCTTTAAAACATAACAATTTAGTTTATCTAATAACCTGCCTGGAATGATTGTCAGGTAAAATACATAGGTCATACTATTAGAACAGCGGCAGTCAGACTAGCCGAACATAAAAAGCCAGCAGCAAAATCTAGATTAGTTGACCCAAATAAGATAAACCTGGAGAATAGTTCAGCTATAGCACTCACAACATGCAATTACACACAACCATACAATAGGACGGGATAGAGTGACAGTTTTAAAAACTAATGTCACAGGGTGGACGGAGAGATTGATAACAGAAGCTTTGTTTGTCGAATCAACTGCAAATACATGTAATAGGAATGATTCAAAACCTCTCCATACAGATATCTGGAAAATTCTACTACCCCTATGACAACAAATAGGAGAGAACAAAGAAAACTATAAAACTCAAGTTTCAAAGTCGTGTGATTACAATTGATGGGATGATTATGAACAATAATGAATTGTGTTCGAAACATTGTCATCCAGTAAACAGTAATACTGTTTCATCACTGTGTGATATATCTAATAAACTGATATGGAATTTTAGACAGACAGATATAGAATTTCCAGTATAGTTTTCTGCATTTTTGAGGACTTGTGTATTTCAGGACGAAGCAACCTTTTTAGAAAGGAGTGAATACAAATCCGATTATTGCGAATACGACTGGGCTTTGTATAAGCTTCGTTATAGCTTCATAGCGCAATATGCACCCATGTATGTATACATGGAAAAATGAGAAGCAAATGTGAAGTTTCTTTTAGATTACAATATAACCGATTAGAATGACACTTGTTTTATTAGCTTGTTTCTGAGTTAATTGATTGTGTTTGTGTGAGGGCTGGGATATTGCTCGGACACCCAGACTGAAGCAAGTGGTTGTCTTAAGGAATCACCCCTCCCCCTGAAGACTTTGACTTGAAGTCTTATCCGTAAAGCAGTAGAGCAGCATCAGGAGCTACGTTCCGATGGTTGTCGGTGACCAATACAGGTTCATATGCCAATTCATCCGATTGGATTCCGAAGCCCATGTACCCCATAGCATAGTAACTGCTTATAGTCTAACCGCCATGCAGACAACCTTCCTGACAGGGTAAGACCTGCAGGAACATAAGTCACAGCTAGTTTAACTTCTTGTGCCAAAGCGGTATTCAAACCCGACCACTACGACAAGGTAGCAGTTGTTGACCTGGGTTAGTGTGACATCAGAAAAGTTAACTGACGAATAACAAAGATTTGAAAAATTCGCCAGTTTTTTCCCATGATTTACCCAAAATATATGCAATGCAAAATTATGAAATATCATAAAGGAAATTATATGTATCTCTTTGTCACGAAGTCTAATAACGATACAATGCTTCTCGAGCAAAACTGTAAGCTATGATGCCTTCACTTTTTGTACAGAAGAAAGGGTACTAAATTCCAGTCTTAGAAGAATACAGTGGTAATGGGTATTTAATTTAGTAGGCATTTCAAGCAATTAAATTTCATTGGGAAGGAAAATATCCCTTGAAAGGTTGTATATAATGAACGGACAGATGTGTTCATGCTATCCAGACCGATATGTCTCTGATTAGTAGTAGTTTGATTTACCAGTCTAAGTTTTTAATCAAAAGTAATAAAATTTTGAGCTGATTGAGGTCTTACAGCTTTGCTATTATTGACTAAGTTTGTAAATTTTTCGATGTTTAGTGAATTGAACTGCCTCAGGTTCTTGCTAAGTTCCACTGTGATATGATAAATCAGTCAGTATCATTGTAGGCGCGTCACCTGTAGGAGCTCTTGTTGAGGTGGTGCAGATAAGCTTTGCATAAATGGGAGGGTTAACTAATATTCCCCTACCTCCCCCCTCTAAGTGATCTGCCGATAGCAATACAAGTTGTTCAATGCAATTACTGGTTAGCTGACCGTATTAGGTGAAAACATCTCCAAAGTAAGGTTTATTAATATTATTATTATCATTCAATAATAATAATAATAATAATTTGTTTTATTCCAAAACAGTACTTATAATATAGTGTGGGAATTCTCATCATTTTGGTACAATATTGTATCTAATTACCTCGACAACAGCAAAAACAAAAATAAAAAAGTTAATACTACGGAGTTGGTAATAGCAGCCATCTTGGTATTTGCAGTGACGGTAATATCGAAAATACACAAAAGTTTAAACTAATGATAATAATATACAATTAGTGGATGGTGGCTAGCAGTGGAATCCAGGATGCGCATTTCGTCCTATTTGGGACTCGTCAGCTGGATGTATCGACGGGAAAATCAAAAAATTCAATTCAATAATGATAATAATGTTAATTTGGATAGCGTTATTAGAAGACGGAGATTATCAGGAAAATGTGATGTATTTGCGCTATACATTTTGAACAATCTGATCACACATTTTTATTCAAGTGTTGGGTTGTAGGGATTTGATTGGTTACAGGATTTCATCATGAGCTGACATTAGTTAGAGAACCATTGGAAAACCAACTGGGAGTACTGGAAAGCTGTTTCGCCCTAGTTTGGGACTCTTCAACGGTACCCACCCACCGCCAGAGTTCGAACCCAGGACCTTCTGGTTACAAGGCGAGCTCGTATACCACTAAGCCACTGGGACACGATCCAATGGCTCATGAATTCTAACTTCTGCCAATTCATGACATAGCGCAACCGCTAGCCAGAAGGTCCCGGGTTTGAATCCCGTTTGGTGCGTACTGCTGAAGAGTCCCAAACTAAGACGAAGCAGCTGTCTAGTACTCCCAGTTGGTTTTCCAATGGTTCTCTAACTAATGTCAGCTCATGATGAAATCCTGTGATCACACATTTACTTGTCAAGTCAATATATATGAAAAAGTTAAATTAAACAAAAATAAGGATTTAAGAATGATTAACACAACCTTTGGTAATTCAATCAAATAAGGATTACCAAAATAGGTTAGGAGAAATAATAAACTGTTTTTGAATACACAGTGGGGCGGGGCTTATGTTTATGAATAGCTATAGTCTCGGTGTATTTCAATAAGCGCCCTTGACCATATTTTATAGATGACCTTAAAGGCTGAGTTAACATCAATCTTATGGTTCATCTCGATTAGGTGTTTAGCTATAGACGAAGTTGGTAGTCTGACACCTGCATCTATTGGTTTTTCACAAGTCATTTGTTTTTCTAGCCATTTTGGGATATGCTCTCCCACCCTCACATGCAAAACACAATTACTCCTCCTTGTGTGCGTCGGTGACACAGTGGTTAGGACTCTCGCTTACTATACATCACATTTTTCAGATAATCTCCGTCTTCTAATAACACTATCCAAATTTCTACAAGGGACTAATTGTTTTAAATAATGTTAATGCCTAAAATCATAAGTTAATTGGAATAGTGTCGCCATAGTGTACAAATAAGAGAGAGTGAAAGAGCCAATTATTTCGTTAATACCATAGTAAGCCGTAGGTTTCTCAATTAACACACTATCTCTGTCACAGAACGCGGGTGGGTCAAATATGGTATCGTTGAGCTTCTATACTTGGTTGTACGTCTGAGCATATAATCTTTCATAATGACTTCTAGTCCTTTTACCTGATGAGATGCAAGTATGGGGAGAGTTGAGAATAGAGAGGGTGGACAATATGGATTTGGACCATTTCTCAAACGATTCGAGGTGTCCATTAACTATAGTAGTAAAAAGCTGACTAAGTGGTACACCAATTTCCCTGCTGACAGACTTCAATACTCTTCTCCTCAATATGCCATAGTCCTTTTTGAGTAGCGTAAGGAAGACTATGTGGGGGTGGGTGCGTGGAATAATGAAGAACAATAAGTAGGACTCAAAAGTTAACAACCTGTAAAAGGGGAGGTTGGTGCACTGTGGGAACCAAGAAGTGCTCCACACAAAATCTCATAGTTGGGTTGGGAGATTGCCCACATGTCCTGGCCGAAGCAGGTAGTTGTTTTAAAGGGCCACCCGTGAGCTTTCGAGTTGCAAGTCTGATTCATAAGTCATTGGTGCAGGGTCATGAGATGCATTTCCATGGTTGTGCCAGTGACCAAAAGGGGCACATGCTTCATTTGATCTCAAGGCATTCTGGAGTATGTGTACATTGTAGGCTTGGAATCAGAGTTCTCCCAGCCTCCTAGGTAGACCAGCATATCCACTAATCCAGTTGTAAGCACCAGACGTTCGTATTCACCCTTTAACTTTTGTGAGAAACACCCTACACCGCGTCACGGAAATGCATAACACTTAGCTAGCCAGAGTCTGTGAACTTATGGTCAAATGAGAGCATTGGGCGAGGAGGACCGACATCTATCCATCCTCTGTCATACAGAGGCATTTATGGGGATGAAAACTGATGCATACATGATTTAGAATAACTTAATTGATTAAAAATGCCCATTAAAATTTTTGAAAAGAATGGATACTGAACAAAGAGTACTCTTTTCGATAACCCCTTCATCATCAGGCTTTACAGTTATATATACATTATAGTGAGTGAATGAATGAATTAGTGTTATGAACAACATTAATGTTGCTGTTTCAATAACATCGAATCAATAATATTGATAGATTACAGCTCAATAGCACCAACATAATCTGAATGTCAGAAAAATTTAGGAAAGATAACAATAATACAAATTCATGAATTTATAGTCTCTACTGAAGGCCAGGGCAGTAGTAGTGGCTGGTGGGACTTGCTTCTTTTGCACACAAAGCACTGGTTGTTTGAGGTGAATTACAACAGCTTCTGCTGATTGGAGCTTGCGGTGCTTCGATGATTTTGGCAAATTATTAGGTACCCCGTAGATGATGATAGCGTCGGTGGCACAGTGGTCAGGACTGTCGCCAACCATGCACATGGTCCGAGGTTGGATCCCCTGCCGACGCACACCTGATATCTATGGTCGGCCTGCGAAATTTGGGCTACCGATATCTATGCTGAAAATTCCTTACCTGCACCAAAAATACGGTGTGGAATCAAGCTGTAATCAAAAATAAAAAAAAAATAAAAAAATGATAGAGAAGGATTCTTCCACGCTGACTGGCTAGCTTTGTGGCCGGCCGGTTTGCACCAGATGGTCCAATATCGAACTGTTAAAATGACGGTTTTCACTACGCCTTTTACTTAGCCATAGTGCGAGATGTTCTCGAGAGAGCACGAAAAATCCTAAAGTTTCTAGAGCAACGGCCAATATAACTCGCTCCACCACCAGCGCAGTTAAATTGGTAGATACAATTTGAAGTGGCCAACTAGTACAGCTAGGTACTTCATCTTTCAGTCGGAGTAGCACCATCGGTTTTGTAGAGAATAAGACGTGTAGTTCGCCTTCCCATAATTCGCCTATATATATATATCTGACATTTCCCATAAATTAAATGCATACTTTTGTTTTTATCTCCTTATGCCTGCTTTCGTCTCATTCGCCGTCTCATTCTGAATAAATATCATGTTTATTTGTTCAAGTTAGTGCAAAACCTATACGCTTTACAGAGGATCCATTTGTCTCATTTGAAAAACCTATTATCCAATCAAAGCTTGCTATCATCTTTGATAAATTGGCGGATCAAATCACCGATCTACTCTTACCAATATCACATTTAATTCCAGGTATGTGTTAGAGAGAGAGAGAAAACTTTGTTTTTTATATATGTTTTGTTCAGTGAACGGCTTCATTGTCAAGCGACTGTACAATCGTATTTATATAGTACAGGGAAAGGCATTCGATTCAGTTAACAAGGATAGTAGGGCGCTTGTGGCATGTGTTAATCCTTGCGATATATATATATATATATATATATATATATATATATATATATATATATATATCTGAAGAGATCTACCGAATTTCTCTTGGAAAAAGCGTCCAACCGATGGCATTCATACTACTTGGTGTCGGATAAGGAGTTTCGGACATTGACTGCTGTATGAGAATTTAAATTCCAAACATTCTATTCCTCCACGATTTGAGTACTTTTTTTTGTGGTAACCTCGTAAATGTATCCTAGAGGGGGCGTAAAGATTAGAAAGGTCAAATTACCCTTTCATATACGATAACTAGCTAGCTGTCTTTGATCATAGATGCCTGCTTTCTATCTCCCGTGTTAGATGGCATAATGGTGTGAGTGATATTGAGGTCAGGTAAGAAGGGAGGGGAAATCAATCGATGAGGTTGTGAAGCAGCTACATCGATTGAGATGTTTAAGACATGTGTTACTCATGCATGCCTAGCCATCGATCACCTTCCTTTACGGCAGACAATGTTAGCTGATATAGACTGGATCAGGTTAGAGAAGAGATAGCTAGTGGTGTTTTCTTGTCACGCGAAGATCGTGGGTGGTGTACTGATGAAGAGTCCCAGACTAGGATGAAACAATTATCCAGTACTCCCTGTGGTTCACCGGTAGAGGGGGAGTACTTGCCAATCATGCACCATGGCCTACGGTTCGATATCCTGCCGACGCCCTCTTAGACGTTGCTTAGCTGATGGTAAGCCTAGTCGATGAGAAAGGTTGGCCGTGAGGCTAGCAACCCCACCTCGTGTAAACAAAACAAGGTCACTGCTCGTGAAACTTCAAAGCTTAAGCCTGCAGCCCTATGCTCCACTCAGAACGCAAAGGGAATTAAAAAAAGAACTGATAAATGTTAGAAGTTTTCGAGTATTCGTATTGTAGGGATCTTTGTTTGATTGCATGGAGGATTTCATCATAAGCTGACATCAGTTAGAGAACCACTGGAAAACCTGGGAGTGCTGGACAGCTGTTTGGGACTTTTCTTCAGTACGCACCCACCGCTATAGTTCGAACCCAGGACCTTCTGGTTACCAGGCGAGCTCGTAGACCATTGAGCCACTGGGACTTGATCTAATGGCTCTTGAATTCTAACTTCTGCCGATCCACGACATAGTGCGACCATTTCGTAATGTCTTCTTCGATGAGTTACTGCCTCATCTTCAGTCTGATGTATTCTGCTGGTCACGGCTTCTGACTAGAACTCCAGGTTAACTGCGTGAATAAGGCTAGTCGCTAGTGAGCATCAGATTAATTTTCAAGTATTGGTTTTGTAAGGATTTTGTTTAATTGTATGGAGGATTTCGAACCCCAGTGGGTGCGTACCGACGAAGAGTCCCAAACTAGGACGAAACATCTGTCTATTACTTCCAGGTTTCCCAGTGGTTCTCTAACTGATTTCAGCTCATGATGAAACCCTCCATGCAATCAAATATCAAAAAGTTAAAACTGTTTCGTCACCTTAAAAATTTCCTTGTGTTTGTATTTTTTAATGTTTTCATTTTTCCTTTGCCAAAATAAAAGGCATTTCTATTGTAAAAAGTGCTGATGATATTGGAAAACGTCGTGAGAATTTACGTACACAAATTGTTCTAGCTATTCAAGGCTTTTATTGTCATTTCAATGAGACGACTACTGATGGTGATAATGATGACAATGATCCAAGTATGGATGATCCTATGAATGGAAGTTCCACTATGCCTGATCCATCTGAATCTAGTTCAGATGATGAAGATATTACCGGGGCGAAGTAAGTCCCCTTTATGTATATATTATTATTATTAGTATTGTTCCCTTGGGTTCCTAGTGGAACATATGGCTTCAACTGTACGCCTCCACTTGCCACTTCTGTCTTCTGCTGTACTTTTCACCTGCATTTATGTTAGTCCATACTGTTTCAACTCCTCTTCACATGATCTCTTCCATGTCACTCTTGCACTGACGTCCCACTCGCCGTTTCCATTTCGGCCTGGTTCCACTCGAGAAATGGCCTGGAGCGCGCGCGATGTCACCCAGCGGCCTCTTCGGCGAGAGAGTGTCCAATCCATCTCAATGCACTTTCTCCTGCATATTTGTTGGGCGATTGGTCCTTGTTTTGTTTGTTTGTTCCCATAGTTTCCCATAGTTGGTGGTTGTTTCCGGCCCGGCCATCTGATCTTCAGTATAGAGCCAGCAAAGACAGTTGTTGTTGATGAAGGTCTGCAACAGGCTGTTGGAAATATTCTTTGTGACCCACCCGCCCACCAAGTTTCTGATCCGTCCCGTATAGAAGAGCTGACTGACTTGACGATGTTTGTATTGAAAATCCGACTGGATTTTGTTGTTGATGGTGGCTGAGTGACGAAGATTCCCAGATTGGTTTCAATTGTGTGTGTTTCTCACCCACCTTCCCGATTCTCGCTCTATTTGACATCCTCGTCCGTTCCTGTGGCCTGTAGTTGAGACAATGCTCTCTAGATGAACAAGTGAATGAATTAACTAGCGAGCTAGTAATCTAGGCGAGGTTTTTATGTATATATGAAGAGAATTCAGTGCCTAGTACGCTAAAAGCAGCTTATTTGCTAGTTGTTTATTCACTTGTCTAACAGTGAAACATCAACGCGTACATACGCTATTACGTCATCTGAAGTGATGAAAACTAGTAGTGTCCGTCAGCGATATATGCCCATTGTCCCCATTTTTGTTTAATTCCATCATAAATGTACTAATGGAATTAATCCTAACTGACTTCAGTGACAAAATCTCAGCATGGATAGATACAGAGAGCTAGTTTCGCATATGCCAGTTTACGTCGTCCCTGGCTGAGTAGACGTGGTATCCGACTGGCTATCGACCAAAGGGCGGGTGTACTGGTCAGCAGTCCGCTCTGTCTGCTGACTAGCTGCCTTTGATCATAGGTGCCTGCGTTCTATCTCTCGTGTGAAGTGGCATAAGCGGGTGAGCAATATTGAGGTTAGGCTTCTGTCGAGTGGTAGTTAGGGCGGGGAAATCAATCAACGAGGCTGTGAAGTTACATCGACTTAGATGGTTAGGACATGTGTTATACACGCTTAGTCATCGCCTTTCTCGACAATGGGCATTGTTAGCTGACACAGGGTCAAGCTGGAAAAGAGCTAGCGGTGGTGAAACCAAAACATGCCTTCACCAGTCAATGAAATCCACAACAGTTAGTTTAAGCTGGCTACTTAGGTAGGTGTAGACTTCCTGACTAGTTGGGGTCCTCGGGACGGTAAAAACCAATGAAGGCTGGAGACAATCGGTGATATGGTTCAAAATCCTTGTTGTCAATGGCTGGTGCAGATGCATCCACTCCTTGTGACCTATATCACCCAATAAAACCATATTGTTCTTCGTTATTGCTAGTCCTTTTGTCTCATATCTCTGTCTACTGTCTCTAATTTGCATTTCTTCTATTTTCTTCTCTTGCTTTGTGTTCTACATGGAGTGTGGAGACTTGAACTGGTGCACATCGGTTCAAAGCTCTATGTTGAAAACACACAGACAGACTTCAGTGAATTAGGGATTGAGTTGTTCACTCAGAGAATGTGCATAATACTCTCCTCCTAGCTGAAGAAGCTAGGACAGAATGCACAGTTTTTTGAACACTGTGAGGAGCAGAAATCTTCGAATATTTGACATGCAATTCGTTATTGTCAAATGTAAGATGATTTTGCAAGACTGGTTTGAGTTTTGGCTCCTAGCCTTAAGAAGAGAGGAAGTTAGGTGGTAGAGCATGTTTGTGAAGTTGCATCAGTCCTAATGGACTGACTGATTTCTGATGAAATCTCGGGACGGATACAAAGCGTTTATATGGCATTTGTTGTCTTACTTCATCTCTGGCGTCGACATCTGATGTCTGACTTCCGATCAAAGGACGTATGTACTGCTCAGCTGCAGTTCTCTCTATCCTCCTTTATGGTTATGCAATATTGAAGGTGGAAGATACGAAAAAGTTGGTTGCTTTTGACTACAGACGTTTGCATTCTGTCTCTCGTGTTGAGTGGTATAATATAGTGATTAATATTGTGATTAAGCGCAGAGTGCTGGGTAAAGAAGGAAGGTAATCGAACGGACTCGTCTCTTAACCTGACGATCTAGAGTTCAATCCCCTATTGCGTTGCCGGTTTATTTATTATTATTTATTTAAACGCATAAAAAAACTTGGTACAATATGGCACCAAGAAGGATGTGGCACACAATAATAATAAAACAACATGGAAAAAATATAAGTAGAGAACGGATAAAGAACTTCATCTGGAAGGAAGACAGTCATGCTTAACAAGTTCAAACAGTGTTCGTTAACTATCATCGGGAAGGGAAGAAAGAAGGAAATTGCAACACATTCGCCATTGATTACGATTCTTGGCCATATCCGATAACGTTTCGAGCCATCGATTTGAGCTAGGGAGACGTGACACACCAACCGATGCTAATCTAGCACAAAAATCCTTCATCCCACGACGCCACGTCATGGACTGACCACCTCTCCGCCTTTTCCATCCCGTCCCAGGGCTAGCGAACAGAGACCTGTACGGAAGCCTCTGGGGTGACATTCGAGCACATGTCCAAGCCACCGGAGCCGGTGTTTCCAGATGACGACATTCAATGAATGTTGATCTCCACTGTGTTCAAACACACGCCGCCGAACCTCAGAATTACTCACGCGATGATGCCATCGAACGCAAGCAATCCTGCGGAGACAGCGGTGATCGAACACGCAGAGTCGCCGCACATCCTCAGCTCGGAGAGGCCAGGTTTCACAGGCGTAGAGCAGCGCAGCCCGCACCGAAGCATTGTATACCCGACCTTTGACAGCCAGGCTAACGTCGCGACGGCGCCATAGGTGGCTCAAGTTGATGTATGCCACCCTAGCCTTCATTATACGGTTGGAAATCTCATCCGTCACCCCTCCGCCGCCAGCACTCACACAACTACCCAGGTACACAAACTTATCAACAACTTCAAGCGGTTCACCCGCAAGAGTGAGTGCAGGTACAGGCTCCTGCCAATCTTGTAACAGTACTTTGCACTTAGACGGCGCAAAGCACATACCATACTTACAGACACTGATCGCCAACTGATTAAGTGCGATTTGGGCAGCCTGCATGCTATCGCACAGTAAGACGATATCGTCTGCATACTCGAGGTCGAAAAGTCTATCTCCAGGTAGCAGATCTACACCACCTTCACGCACATCCTTCAGAGCTGACTCCAGAATGTCATCGATGGCAAAGTTAAAGAGAAATGGAGAGATTGGGCAACCCTGTCTAACCCCACTGTTGGTTGGGAACAGTGGTGATAGTTGGTTGTATGCCCTCACTCTACCTGAGGTGTTTCTGTATAGGGCTTTCAGATGTTAACAAATTTCTCAGGTACACCTCTCTCTAACAGACAGTTCCAGAGCACAGTTCTGTCCAACGAATCGAAGGCAGCCCTAATATCAAGAAACACAACGATCGTTGGCCTGCAATACGTGTGGCGGTGTTCCAACAACTGACGAAGGGTGAACACATGATCAATGCATCCACGACCTGAACGAAACCCAGCCTGCTCTTCGCGAATCAATCCTTCACGTATTTTGCACAGTCTGCGAAGCAAGACAGCAGCCAATATTTTAGACGCGACTGGTAACAGACTGATACCCCTATGATTGTCACACGAATTACGTCGACCCTTTTTAAAGATGGGGACGATAATGGCTTCGTTCCACATTGATGGTACACTCTCTGTCTCCCACACCTTCCTGAACAACCCAGTTAGAGCCATTGTGAGAGTCTCGCCACCATCTTTAAAAAGAGCCGGGGGTAATTTGTCTGGGCCGGGCGCCTTATGGCGTTTCAGAACTTGGAGTTCCTTACGGACCTCCGCTTCGGTGGGTGGGTCGGTACTAACCGACCAAGGAGCACTCGGGCTAATGATAGTAGACACTGAAGCTGGTGGCCAGCTGAACTGCTTCCCGAAGTGCTCTGCCCAGCGTTCCAGGCGTCTTTTCAGGCTGGTAATTGGAGTGCCATCTGCCTCACAGACCGTCTCGCTGACACCTTGTTTCTTGCTGCCGGTGGCTCGTATGAGTTGGAACAGCTTCCGACTGTTGCCAGATGCAGCAGCTGACTCCATCTCACACGCACGTTCTGACCACCAGGCTTCGCGGTCCTTACGTAAACACTGTCTAATCTTGCGCGTGAGCGCCTTTCGCTGATTGTTGTATTCGCTGCCAGCCGGAATGGACCGGCGTTCATCCATGAGTTGCAAGGAACTCGCAGAAACCCAGTGGTTGTTAGCGGAGCATTCTTTCAAGCCGCAAGCGGCTACACTCGCCTTTTGCATGGCACCTTGCACATGAAGCCAATGTTCATCTATACTACTTGGGGGGTTGCTGGCAAGCATTGTTTTTAACTCATTCTGATATTTCAAAGAAGTAGCAGGTGCTACTAGTTTGCTCACATCAACGCTTAGACGACGGCTTTTACGAACCCCACCAAATCGCAAGACGAACTTGGCGTCTAGACATGTGCTCCAGAAGGAGCGACAGTCTTGTATGCATCCTCGCCACCGGAAACTGACCGCAATATGATCAATCTGAGTCCAAGCTTGCTTCGCAGAGGGAGGACGCCAGGTAGCGCTACGGCGATGGCTGTGCCGGAAGTTGGTGCTGGCTAGAAATAGGTTGTGATCCGCGCAAAGCTGCAGAAGACGGTCCCCATTATCTGACCTGCGACCATGTAGTCCCCACTGACCACCTAGACGATTCTCCTCTGAGCTTAGACGCCCACCTGTGCATTCAAGTCCCCAGCCAGCACTACGATATCCCTCCGACCCGCCTGTTTCAAGAGATCGCTCAGTTGGTAGTAAAACTCATCCTTCATTGCATCCGGGCTGCAATCCGTCGGTGCATAGGCAGAGACAACAAATAGACACCGCCTATCTGGCCTACTACTCCTTACTTTCGTATAACCTTCCAGCCTCACAGCACATAAACGACTGTTAATGGGAATCCAGTCGAGCAGTGCAGCTTCGGCTCTAGCGCTCAGTGCGACACCGACACCAGCTACGCCGGATGCCGACGCCACAGGGTCCCCGGATAAGCGCAGGTGGTACATACTACTAGAACTTCCAGATGGAGAGGATAGTCGAAGCACTTCACTGGGATCTTGAATGCGGGTCTCCGAAATGCAGCAGACATCGATAGCGAGGCTTTCCAAAGTTCTTACAAACCCTGCCTGTTGTCCGATTTGCATCAGCGTCCGAACATTGTAGGTGACCAGCTTGAACGCGGCACGCGGTTTCAGGATATCTGTTTTAGATGTCACATTGGGAACAACCATTTTGAGGACTACTTACTAACATCTCGAAACGACACGGATAGGCTGGGAATCTCGACAAAGGCGAAAGGCTGTCGAAGGTTAAGAAGTCAAGGTTAGCAAAGGTAAAATACAGGAAACTATGTATAAAAATAAAAGTAAGGTAGGAAGGAAATAAGTTGCTTGAGGGATCATTATTACTTGAAATCATTTTTACTAGCGCGCGTTGAGTTTCAATGAGAGTTCGTTGCCGGTGCATACTGCTGATGAAGAGCCCCAGACTGGGACAAAACAGCTGTCTAGTAGTACTTCCTGGTGTACAGTGATCCGTGATCCAACCAACTTGAGATCAATCCAATCCCTGTTCACATCATCAACACTTGACGATCATGGTTTTTTTCTTTCCTTGTTTCGTTTTAATTGATCAGATTAGCAGTTCAAATGAATCCTGCTATAGTTCAGGCATCACTTGATCGCTATGATCATTTTAATTGGAATAAACAAAAGAAATTTTCATCGATTCGAGCAAAAGAACAAGCCATAGATCAGTTCAGCAGTGGTTATACTTCACGACAACAAGGTTCTCTATTTAAATCAAGATGTAAAATAGAATTAAGCGAACCAATAATTCATAATACTGAAGAAGTTTCTGCGGTGCCGGCGGCAGCGGTGGCGGTGGCGACGACAGCGACGACGACGATGACAACAACAACAACGAGTCAAGTAAATCAATGCATTGACGATGGAAACTTGAAGTAAGTTTCAACATTCTCTTCTGCTATCGTCTATGTTTACATGTTCATTACCATGTTGTATTATATCCTTTAATATTATTATTATTCCCTTTAATTCCTAGAGGAACATAGGTCTTCAACCGCGCGTCGCCATTGCGTTCTGTTCTCTGCTAAAGATTTCGCCTGGCTCCACGTCTTCTCACATGACCTCCTCCAAGTCACCCTTGCACTGACAACCAACTCGCCGCTTCCCTCTCGGGTTCCACTCGAGCAATGGCTTGTCTAGTGATGTCACTTGATGGTTTGTTTTCTCAGAGTATGGCCAGCCAATCCACCTCCATTTCTTCCTGCCTATTTGTTTCACAATCGGTTCCTGGTTGGTTCGCTCATTGTCAGAGATCCTACCCTGTTGCTGATCTCTTATGACCATCTGATCTTGAGTAGTATTGAGCGAAGACAGCTGTTGATGAAGGTTTGTAGCTTGTTTGAGGTGCTCTTTATGACGCGCTGGTCAAGTCTCTGATCCGTATAGTGAATTGAAAATCCGGATCTTATTTATAATACTGAGTGCTGTTCATCTCCTCCACACAGACTTAAGAGTAGTGAAAGCTTGTCTTGCTTTCCCGATCCTGACTGCTTTGATATCCTCGTCATTTCCGTCTGCCTGTAGTTGAATTGATGCTTCCCAGGTAGGTGGAGGTTGTTTCTTTCAGGTTCCTCCCATTTATGCTGGCTGATTGTTGTCTGTTGTTGTTACTGCTGTTGGTGTCGGCCAGGAATCTTCATCATCACCTCTGTTTTGTCTATGTTCACCTGAAGTCCTATCTTTGATGCTTTTTCTTCTTACTTGTTGCTTTTCACCTGCATATCTTCAAGTTTGTGGGAAATCAGACATATATCATCGGCGAAGTCCACATCCTCCAATTTTTTTTGTGTGGGTCCATTTTATGCCTGTTTCTTCATTGCCTGTTGTCTGTCTCATTATCGAGTTTACCGCAGTCAGGAAAATCATTGGCGATAGTAGGTAGCCTTGCCTTACTCCCGTCTCCACTTCGAAGGATTCCGTAAGTTTCGCGTTGTGGATTACTTGGCTGGCATGCAGCATTGTCGTACAACTGTTGGATGAGATGTATAATTGTCGGCGGCACCCCGTAGTAGTGCAGTAATCCTTTAATATTGTACTTTGAAATTGGAGTTAATACTGTCACTAATCTGAAACGCAGTGAAGCAGCAGGATTTGATGGAATGACTCCAGAGGTATTTAAGTACGATGGAGACAATTTACTCTCTGAGTTAACTAAGGTACTGGGCCGCATTTGGGAATCAGAGGAAGTCTCGTCGGGTTGGTGTAAGTCATTAAATATCCCCATATACAAGAAGGGAGACAAGTTTTCCTATGATAATCACAGAGCGATTAGCTTGACCAATATGGTATTTTAAGTTCTAGGCTCAATAATCATGCGTAGACTATGTGGTGCTCGGGTGAAACAAACACAAGAGAACCAGACAAGCCTTAGACCAGGAAGAGGATGTATTCATCATATGTATTTACCATTCAACAGATTCTGGAAATCGGGCATACTTACTGGCGTCCAACTATCGTCATATTTCTTGACGTGAAAGCGGCATTTGACTCCGTCGACCTAGACGTACTATGGCGATGCTTGGCTGTAAAGGTAATGCCGAGAAAATACATTGCACTGATCAAGGCACTGTACTCGAACTCATGCAGCCAGATAGCTAAGAGTTTACGGAGAGTTGTTATTTGACAGCTGTGATGATAACGAGTGGTGTCCGTCAGGGATGCCAACCCACTTTCCCTATTTCTATTTAATTTCATCTTGGATGTACTAATGGACTTAACCCTAATTGACTTCAGTGACTCAGGGATTGACTTGTTACCATCAGGGATCAATAGTCTCGTTGACTTAGAATATGCAGATCATATAATCCTGCTTCTAGGTGAAGACGCTAACAAAATTCAGTCTTCTGAACACCTTGATCCGCAATCTGAGAATATTTGGCATGCGATTCGCTCGTGCTGTCAAATGTAAGATGATGCTACAGGACTGGACTGGACTATATCGACTCCTAGCTTAGAAATAGGGAGTGAAGTGATTGATAGAGTGTGTTGACCACTTACTTCACTTATTTGAGAAGTTGTATCAGCCAACACCAGCTGATTGATGGGTGACGAGATCTCAGCACGGATACAGAAGGCTTGTTTCGCATTTGCCAGTTTATGCCGTCTCTAGCGTAGACGTGACATCCGACTTGCTATCGACCAAAGGACTTGTGTATTGCTCAGCAGTTCGTTCTGTTCTCGTTTATGGCTGTGAGCTACACATGGCCATTGAAAGTGGAAGACATGGAAAGGCTGACTAGCTGTCTTTGGCCATAGGTGCCTCTCATGACCAATATTGGTTACGTAAACATTGACGTAAATTGTTGTCTACCGATTTTGGTTAGCAGCCAGCTTTCACCACAATATATTTGACCGAAATTAATGAAGTTCATTTTGGTATATGCAGCTGATGTCGGGATATTATCACAATTACTAGCTCAAATTAATTAACTTGATTGCTTTCTGGTGGTAGTAGCTCTCATTAGAATCGAGATAATGGTGTAACCATAAAAGGCATGACATGGGAGCCAAGGTATATATTTTTCATTCATCAAACCGCTATTTATGTATCTGCAGTTTATATTCGCCTAACCAACCAATCACTGAGCGTGTGATTTCAGTTTGCTGTAATTTGCATAGATTTATATATAAAAATTTTTTATCAATAACGGTGATTTTGTCGATCAAATAATAATAATAATAATATTAATAATCGTGATAATAATAATAATGTGGCTAATGTTTTGAACGTAGTTAGTAACGATGATTATTTTTGATTATTTTTATTGTTCCCTTGGGTTCCTAGTGGAATATAGGGCTTCAACTGCACGTCTCTACTTGCCACTTCTGTCTTCTGCTGTACTTTTCACCTGCATCTATGTTAGTTAGTCCATACTGTTTCAACTCCTCTTCATACGATCTCCTCCATGTCACTCTTGCACTGACGTCCCACTCGCCGCTTCCCTTTCAGCCTGGTTCCACTCGAGAAATGGCCTGGAGCGCGCGCGATGTCACCCAGCGGCGGCCTCAGCGGGCAAGTATCGAATCCATCTCAATGCACTTTCTCCTGCATATTTGTTGGGCGATAGGTTCTTGTTTTGTTTGTTTGTTCCCATAGTTGGTAATTCTTTCCGGCCTGGCCATCTGATCTTCAGTATAGAGTCAGCGATGACAGTTGTTGTTGATGGAGGTCTGCAACAGGCTGTTGGAAATATTCTTTGTGACCCACCCGCCCGCCAAGTTTTCTGATCCGTCCCGTATAGAAGAGCTGACTGACTTGACGATGTTTGTATTGAAAATCCGACTGGATTTTGTTGTTGATGGTGGCTGGCTGAGTGATGAAGATTTCCAGATTGGTTACAGGTTGATGAATGTGTGTGTTTCTCACCCGCCTTCCCGATTCTCGCTCAATTTGACATCCTCGTCCGTTCCTGTGGCCTGTAGTTGAGAAAATGCTCCGTAAGTTAGTAAATGAAGTAATCTCTTTCAAATCCCTCCCGTTGATGGTGATTGGCGCTGGATAATTATAATGATAACAAAATATTGATAATAAGGTTTATGCAGGTGGCGATAAGAATAACAAAGGTAGTAATATGTGTGTGTATATGTAGACAATTCAATAAATAAATTAGGTCAAATCTTAAAAGTTACGTAATACTAAAGGTAGGTGAAGTGGACAGATAATCAGAGTTTAAATAAATACCATAAAAATACGAAGGGGATGGAAAATAAGGAAGGGTGGGAGGGTTTTGAATAGAATTCACCTAGGCCAGGCAAGGGAGAGACAAAGGTAGAACAAACTTGTTTTGTTGTATGCAAAGACACTAGGATTGTTCTCTCGAATTAATTCCCATAGCCTCTTCGGCTATGTGTAAAAGACGGATTCGAATTCCGTTTCGAAAGGCTCGATGGAATGCGATAGATAACTTTGAAGGCACTATTAAGTACGTTCAAAACATTTACCATATTATTATTAATATTATTATTATTATTAGATCCACAAAATCATCGTCATTGGTTAAAATTGTTATATATAAAGCTATGTAAATTTGAGTAAAGCCTGAAGAATATATCTAATTGAAAACAACAATATTGTCTGTCTGTCTGTCTGTTTTCGACATAGAACTTTGCACCGATGTGCATCAGTTCAAGTCGTCACACTCGCTTCATGTATCACACAAACCAAGAGAAGAAAGTAGAAGAAATGCATAACAGAGAGAGTTAATGGAGGTGTGAGACAAAGGAATAGTAATAACGAAGAACAATATAGTTTCATTGGAAATCATAAATCACAAGGAGTGGGTGCACCTGTGACAGCCATTGAGAACGATCACTTTGAGCCATCTCACCGATTGTCTCCGGCCTTCATTGGTGTTTGCCGTCCCGAGGACCCCAACCATTCAGGAAGTCTACACCATCCTACTTGGCTGGCTTAAACTAACTGTTGTGGATTTCATTGACTGTTGTCAATATTAAAAATGGGAATATTTAAAGATTTCAATTTACATCAAACGACATGATATAGAGTGTTCAACTACATACATAATATTCTGTTGCCAGTGTAGTGGTAGTATTGAATTGTGGGAATATGTGTGAGAATAATATTCCGTTGGAGAACACACACATTGTCCTTATCACACCACCACCAACACAGTGGTTGGGCGGGGTTGAAGGGGTACGCATTTTGTTTTATTTTTGTTGGGCACAACAGTTGGTAATTTTAATTGAATTTTTTTTTAGATTTTCCCGTCGATTGATTCTATCGAAGTGCTAGGTCTCAGGTTGACATGCCGGCCTCGGTGGGAACATCATCACTCACTCACTCACTCACTCACTGGGAAATGCAGGTACATCCACCAGCTGGAGGACGAGTCCCAAATAGGATGAAATGCGCCTTATCCTGGATTCCACTGCTAGTCACCATCCAGATATTAAATTCTAATTAAATGCCCAGGCATTGTCGGAGCATCTGCACAAGAAGCCAACAGACATGTCAACCTGAGACCGAGCACTTCGGTCAAATCAATCGACGGGAACATCTTGAATTCAATTAAACAATTAGTATGACCTGTTGCACAAGAAAGAGGTGGCCAGCGCTCGTGGCCCAAGTGGTGCCTAGTGGGTAACAATGCTTTAGCGTTTTAAACTATGTTCACTGGGTTTGAGCCTCGCTGGTGGGAACATCATCACTCATTGGGAAATGCAAGTACATCCAGCTAGTTGACAAGTCCCAAATAGGACGAAATGCATGTTATCCTGGATTCCACACTGCTAGTCACCATCCATAAATTGTTCTTTGTCTTATTTTTTTTTTCTGTCTTAAGCAGAACCACAGACATTGAAGGGGAATCAAATGATGTCCCAATGGATGCAGTACACCATGAAGGTACTGAAGAGAAGGATGAGTCTAAAATTGAACGATCAGAAGGAGCAAAAGGCGAAGGAGAAGAAGAGGAAAAAGAAGAAGGACAACAGCATCAACAACAGGATGAACAACTATCAGAAGAACAAGAACACCAGCAGCAACAAGAACTTGAAGAAGAGAATGCGGAGTCCCATACTTCTCCAAAGCATAGTAATGATAATAAATTGACTGAAATTTCAAGAAAAACTTTAAATCGTTCTCTACGTTCACGGCATAGTCATACACCAACAGATACAAGTTGTTCTGAAGGGGAAGTACTCTCGGATACAGAAGAAGATCAAGAATTATCAGATCAACATCATCATCGTCATCGTCATCATGATGATCACGTTAATGATCCTGATCAACAAAATAAGGATAATGATGTTGTTGTTGTTGGTGTACATGAAAAAGTTAAAGCAATTGACAGTGAAAATCAAAATGAAGATCTTATCCGATTTACAACTTGTCACCAGCATGATCCATTAGAGTCATCATCAAGAGCGGAAACAGGAACAACAACAACAACAACAGAAACAGCACCATCAACAACAACAACAATAATAGCACCAATGAATGATGTTAATTTAACTGAATTAGAAATTATGAATGAATGGGCACAGCCTACAACAATATCAACAGCTAATCCATCAGATATTTCACTTAGTGAAATAAATCTTCCATCTGATGAATCGGTAAGTATCATTTTTGTTTTGTCTTTGTGAAGATGAATTCCTAGTAAGAACATAGGGCCTGGCTTCTGTTCTCTTCATCTGCGTCCACGATTCCCAATAATCTCTCATCTCCTCCAACTCGACACATGATCTCCTCCATGTCACCCGAGTAGTGTGACAACCCACTCGTCACTTCCCATGGAGGTTCTACTCGAGCGATAGCCTACGCTTATCGTGATGTCATTCGATGGTCTCCTCAATGTATGCCCGATCTATGTGTCCATCAGTATAGCCACTCTCTCAATGTGTTCGTGGTTGTCGTCTGGGTGGCTACCTAGAAAGTCTTCCCAGCCAGCCTCATACATTGTACAGACATTCTGTGTCCCCATTCTTATTCTTGCTTTCATCAAGAGAAGACACACATCTGTTGACTGAATGGTTTCCCGAAGGCTGACTTTCATCAGCCGGCCCGCTGTATCTTTTCGCCTCTCTGATTCCAGTGATGAATATGATTGTTGTTATTTGAATTTTTTTTTGTATTTTTAATGTATTTATTTTTTGTGCGTTGAAGTTTCTGTAGCAGTTTGATTAGTTTTGTGGTGAATGGGGTTGCTAGCCCTACACCCAACCCTTTAAACTACATCGACGCCTAGTTTAAAAATAGGAAGTGAAGTGGTAGAGCACGTTGACCGCTTCACTTATTTGGGAAGTACCATCAGCCGACGCCAACGGGTTGATCTCTGACGAAATCTCAGCACGAATACAGGGGGCTCGTTTCACATTTGCCAGTTTACGCCGACTCTGGCGTAGACGAGATGTTCGACTATCGACCAAAGGGCGGGTGTACTGCTCATTAGTCCGCTCCGTCCTCCTTTATGATTGTGAGACCTGGCCACTGAGAGAGTGGAAGACATGAAAAGACTAGCTGTCTTTGATCATAGGTGTCTGCACTCTATCTCCCATGTGAAGTGGTATAATAAGGTGAGCAACATGGAGGTTAGGTGTAGAGTTCTAGGTAAACAGGGGAAATCAATCGACGAAGTCGTGAAGCTACAAAGACTGAGATGGTTAGGACATGTGTTACGTATGCCAAGCCATCGCCTCCCTCGACGAGCTATGTTAGCGGATATAGGGTCAGGCTGGAAAAAAGCTAGCGGAGGTCAAACAAAAACTTGGCATCAGTCAATGAAATCCACAACAGTTGGTCTAAACCACGTAGAAAGGTGTAGACTTCCAGGCTGGGGTCCTCGAGACGGTAAAAATCTATGGTTGGAAACAATTGGTGACATGGCTCAAAATCGTTCTCAGTGGCTGGTGCAGATGCATCCACTCCCTGTGACTTATGATCTTCAATGAAACTGTTTTGTGTTTCTTTATTACTCCTTTGTCTCACACCTCTGCTCACTGTTTCTATTATGCTTTTCTTGTACTTTCTTCTCTTGCTTCGCGTGCTACACGGAATGTGGCGACTTGAACTTCCGCACATTTGTGCAAAGTTCTATATCGAAAACAGACAGACAGACAGACACCCAACCCTTCCTGTTTACCAGAACTTGGGGTTGGCTAAAACACTAGCGAGGTAGTTAACTAGTTGAGTTTGGGAAGGTGTGTATAGTCACAATTAATTCTTTTGTTAGTTGTTATATTTCGAAAAATACCCATTTATTCATAAGTAAAAACACAGTTTTTGTTCAGCGAAGAAATTTCTTTTCAACGACTTCATTTTCAAGCCAACTGTACAGTCGTATTTATTATATTACAGAAAGAGGTGGTTATTAAGTGGCACTAAATAATTGCTCAGTCAATGTACGTATATATGTGATAAAAGTTATAAGCGGTAGAGTTGAAGTGGATAAATTACAAAAATATTAAACATTGTTTGTGATCCATCCACTTCAACTCTACGCCTTGTAATATTTTAATTATCGTTATTCTTATCACTTATGATGATGTGTATATTGACTGAGCAGTTAATTATTTAGTGCCACTTAATAATAACCACCTCTTTCTGTAATATAATAAATACGACTGTACAGTTAGCTTGAAAATGAAGTCGTTGAAAGGAAATTTCTTCGCTGAACAAAACAAACTGTGTTTTTACTTATGAATAAATGAGTATTTTTCGTGATTCATTAGAGTAAATGCACATAGATGTGAAAATAAGCAGTAATTTATCCTTGACGCATTGTCTAATTATATTTCGGCTGGTAAAACCTAGTTGCAAGTCAGCTGCAGGAAAAGTACATTTAATACATTCAGATGAACGATTTTTAATCAATTCAGCAGTGGTGTCACCTTTGAATGCCACACTCATAAACAGTTTTTTCTTTGGCACTGTGATTTGTCTAGGGGCTGATACTTTCTTGATGTTACGTTCAATGAACCATTGTTAAGGAGATTTAATCGAAGGTTATCTAGTTCCCTATCGATTGTCTCTGCAGAGCAGATTTTACGAATTCTGGAGCATAAGGAATGAATAAGATTTCTCTTTCTCCCTAAAGGTACCCAACTGTTGAAGTTAGTGTACTGTCGAGTGAATGTTGGCTTTCGGTAAATCGAAATTAACAGCGTTCCATTCTCTCTTCTATCTAGCTTAACATCAAGGAAATGAAACGAGGAGTTCGACTCTTCTTCGACCGTGAAAAGCAATGAGTGAGAACCGTTCAATATTCTATGAAGTTCTGCAGTTGAAGTGTTTTCATCACATATAATGAAGGTATCATCAATATATCTTTTATACATAAACAAACTGTCGATGGTTTCCTTTAGTGGGCCATTCTCTAAGCTTCCCATGAAGACGTCCGCTAAGAGCGGTTCTAAAGGAAACGCCACGGTGACTCCATCCCTTTGATTGTAGATGACATCATTAAATCTAAATTGCACATTCAGTGTGCATCTCAATAACAGTTGTTTAAGATAATCAGTTAGTAAGCCAATGTTCATGATGTTTAAATCAATATACTCGCAAAGATAGCAGATAGTGTCTACTAGTGGTACATCGGTGAACAATGAACAAACATCTAACGAAATCATATGCTTACCAGTCACATTAATTTCATCAACACAACCGACAAAGTCAAAAGTGTCGGAAAGACTATGTTTACATAGATTTAATCTAACTGGTTCCAGAACATTTTTGACATCAATCCACTTATGAAACAATCTTTAATAATTCTGTAATTTATCCACTTCAACTCTACGCCTTATAACATTTTAATTATCGTTATTCTTATCACTTATGATGATGTGTATATTGACTGAGCAATTATTTAGTGCCACTTAATAACCACCTCTTTCTGTAATATAAATACGACTGTACAGTTAGCTTGAAAATGAAGTCGTTGAAAAGAAATTTCTTCGCTGAACAAAAACTGAGTTATTATATTATTGTTCCCTTGGACTGCAACAGGACGTCTCCACTTCGCCCTGTTCTGTGCAGTCCTCTTCAGCTGACATAAGTCTTCATCTCCTCCATTGTGGATAAAATTTATTTTGATAAAGTCTCACAGTGTTTTGTTATACAGTCATATTTACTGATGACCATGTTTCGGGGACAATTTATTACTGCTCATAATCATATCAATTTTTTTGATTACAGCTTGATTCCACACTGTTTTTTTGGTTCAAGTATGGAATTTTCAGCGTGGATATCGGTAGCCCAAAATTCGCAGGCCGACCATAGATATCAGGTGTGCGCCGGCGAGGGCTCGAACCCCGGACCACGTGCATGGTCGGCGAGAGTTGTAACCACTGTGCCACCGACGCACATCAAGGTACTCATACGAAGTTAAATAGTGCAGAGTCGATGAACCAGGATTCAGTAATCAACCTCCCTTACTCTCCATCTACCTACCTGTATTACTTTTTAGAATCTTAACCCTCTCCCACTGTGTTGTGTGGTTGTGTGTTAATGCAAGCAATGGTAGTGCTGAGCTTTTTTTCTAAATTATTTATCTTCTAGGGATCAACCATTCTTACCTTAGCTAAATTATTATGTTCCGACAATGTGACTACTACCCCTGACCTACTAGTTTTTGACCTATGTAGTTTACTTCACAGTTATTGCAGAGAGGTTGACTACTGAATCCTGCCTGGTTCATCGAGTCTTCATCTAACACGTGCAATAAGAATAGCTCATCACGCATACCACAAATATGGAAAATACGCCTACCAATCAAGTCAAGCGATGAAAATTAGTGATGGAAGTATATAAATGAAGTTAGAAAGTTGTGTGAGTAGTGTCTTGATATGATTATTTGCAGTTGTAATAAATTGTGCTCAAAGCGTGTGATCATCAGTAAATGTTACTGTATAACCAACACTGTGGGATTTATCAAAATAAAATTTTATCCGTAATGGAGTTATACTCCTCTACCACCAACCACAGTGGCCAAGTTTTGATACTTATAACAATAATGATAATATTTTTTAGAAATTTTATCATTTGTTTCATACTTTAGGCATGCCCTTGTTTGATTCTTTGATTAAATATGAGATGAAGAAAACAGGAAACAGGCATAAAATGGATCCACACAAAAAGAGACTTGGAGGATCTGAACTTCGCCGATGATATACATCTGATTTCTCACAAACTGGAAGATATGCAAGTGCAAAGCAACAAGTTGGCAGAAGAAGCATCAAAGATAGGACATCACTTCAGGTGAACATAGAGGAGACAGAGGTGATGATAAAGATTCCTGGCTAACAGCAACAGCACCAACAAAAGACAACAGACAACAATCAGTCAGCATAAATGGAAGAAATCCGAAAGAAACAACTTCTTTTACCTATCTACCTACCTGGGAAGCATCGTTTCAACTACAGGCGGATGGAGCTGACGAGGATATCAAGGCAGCAATGATTGGGAAAGCAAGACAAGCTTTCATTACTCTCAAGTCTGTGTGGAGGTCAACAGCACCCAGCATCAAAAGTGAGGTCTGGATTTTCAACTCCAATGTGATGTCAGTGCTACTCACTGTACGGATCAGAAACTTGGTCAGCGTGTCATAAAGAGCACCTCAAACAAACTACAAACCTTCATCAACACCTGTCTTCGCTCAATACTACTCAAGATTAGATGGCCAGCCAGAAATGATCAGCAACAGGGTAGGATCTCTGGCAATGAGCGAACCAATCAGAAACCGATTGTGCAACAAATAAGCAGGAAGAAATGGAGGTGGATTGGCTGGTCATACTCTGACGAAACCATCAAGTGACATCACTAGACAAGCCATTACTCTAGTGGAACCCGAGAGGGAAGCGGCGTGTTGGTCGTCAGTGTGAGGGTGACTTGGAAGAGGTCATGTGAAGAGGAGATGGAAACATGTGGGTAGACTTGGAGCCAGGTGAAAACGTTGGCAGAGAACCGAACGCAACGGAGACGTTTGGTTGAAGCCCTATGTTCCTCTAGGAATTAAAGGAAATAATAATAATAATAGTAATATAAACATTGACGTAAATTACTGTTTACCGATTCCGGCTGGCAGCCAGCTCTCACCACAGTATGACTGGCGTTTTTTCTCTCTCTCCCTGTTCACCTTTTTTGTTTTCCTTCTTCTCAGACTGATGCAAATACATCTAATAGTACTACTAATATTGATGATGGTGATGATGAGAATGATGAAATTAGAAATATATTCAATGAATCTCTTGAATTCTGTGCTATCAATCTACAAGAATTAATTTCACAAGCTGAAGCTAATTCTAATCGATTTATCAGTAAAGTTAATAGAAATGCCAGTGATCATAGAATGAATTCTACAAATCAATGGCCAATAGTCTCTATATCACCAGAATTAGAAGCGAGTATTGAACGAACAGCGTCTGCTTTCAAGGTGAGTGAGTATTCTTTTGATTTACCGGGTTTTCTTTTAAGTCTGTGTGTCTGTGGTTCTCTGACCTGGCTAATGGTAGGTAGTTTATTATTGTATAGCTTTCATTTTTTCTTCTAGAGACACCATTTTCAGCGGGTTACATCAAGGTGGTGAAGCTCAGAGAATGAACATAAATCACAAATTAGGACAAAGAACATCTGCCTGAGTTACGACTATTCTGTATTATTTCAGTGTTGGTTTATTTTAGATGACACAGAATTCATACGAGTATATGACTGACTGACTGACTGTTCTCAACGTAGAACTAACTTTGCACTGATGTTCAGCAGTTTGAGTGTCCTCTTCACTTATTTAGGAAGCTGCGTCAGCCCCAGTGCCAACGGGTTGATCGCTGACGAAATCTCAGCACGGATAGAGAAGGCTAGTTTGGCATATGCCAGTTTTAACGCCGTCTCTGCTGTAGACGTGATATCTGGCTAGCTGTCGACCAAAGGGCGGATGTACTGCTCATCAGTCCGCTCCGTCCTCCTTCATGGCTGTGAGACCTGGCCATTGAAAGTAAGAGATATGGAAGGGCTAGGTGTATTTGATCATAGGTGCCTCAAACCAGGTTGGAAAAGAGACAGCTAGTGGTGGCCAAACCAAAATATGGCTTCACCAATCAATGAAATCCATAACTGTTAGTTTAAGCCGGCTACGTAGGAAGGTGTAGACTTCCTGACTGGTTGGAGTCCTCGTTATGGTAAAAACCAATGAAGGCTGGAGACAGTTATAGGTGATATGGCTCAATATCGTTGTCAATGGCTGGCGCCGATGCATCCACTTCTTGTGACTTATAATACCCAATAAAACTATATGATCCTTCGATACTACTATTCTTTTTATTTCATATCTCTGTTTACTGTCTCTATTTTGCATTTCTTTTACTTTCTTCTCTTGCCTTGTGTGCTGAGTCTGTCTCTGTCTGTCTGTTTTCGATAGAGAACTTTGCACAAATGTGCAGAAGTTCAAGTCGCCACACTCCGTGTAGCACGCGAAGCAAGAGAAGAAAGTACAAGAAAAGCATAATCGAAACAGTGAGCAGAGGTGTGAGACAAAGGAGGAGTAATAACGAAGAACAAAACAGTTTCATTGAAGATCATAAGTCACAGGGAGTGGATGCATCTGCGCCACTGAGAACGGTTTTGAGCCATGTCATCAATTGTTTCCAACCATAGATTTTTACCGTCCCGAGGACCCCAGCCTGGAAGTCTACACCTTTCTACGTAGCTTAGACCAACTGTTGTGGATTCCATTGACTGATGCCAAGTTTTTGTTTGACCTCCGCTAGCTTTTTTCCAGTCTGACCCTATATCCGCTAACATTGCTCGTCGAGGGAGGTGATGACTTGGCATACGTAACACATGTCCTAACCATCTCAGTCTTTGTAGCTTCACGACTTCGTCGATTGATTTCCCCTGTTTACCTAGAACTCTACGCCTAACTTCAATGTTGCTCACCTTATTATACCACTTTACACGGGAAATAGAGTGCAGACACCTATGTTCAAAGACAGCTAGTTAGCCTTTTCATGTCTTCCACTCTCAGTGACCAGGTCTCACAACCATAAAGGAGGACGGAGCGGACTGATGAGCAGTACACCCGCCCTTTGGTCGATAGTCGAACATCTCGTCTACACCAGAGACGGCGTAAACTGGCAAATGCGAAACGAGCCCCTTGTATTCGTGCTGAGATTTCGTCAGAGATCAGCCCGTTGGGGCTGATGTGTGCTGAGTGAAGTGTGGTGACTCGAACTGCCGCACATCAGTGCAAAGTTCCATGTTGAAACCAGACAGACAGATTTCGAGTCGTCACACTTAATTTAGCACACAAAGTAAGCGAAGAAAGTATAAAGAAATGCAAAACAAAGAGATGAGGCAAAAAGAACAGTAATATCGAAAGACCATGTAGTTTTATTGGGTATTATAAGTCACAAGGAGTGAATGCATCGGCTCCAGCCATTGACAATGATATTGAGCCATATCACCTATAACTGTCTCCAGCCTTCATTGGTTTTTACCATAACGAGGACCCCAACCAGCGACTCAGGGATTCACTTGCTACCAGGGAATAATCTCGTTGACTTGGAATATGCAGACGATATAGTCCTTCTAGGCGACGACTCTGACAAAATGCAGAGTCTTCTGAACACCTTGAGCAGCAATCTACGAATGTTTGGCATGCGATTCGCTCCCGCCAAATGCAAGATGATGTTACAGGACTGGACTACATCGACGCCTAGTTTAAAAATAGGAAGTGAAGTAGTAGAGAATGTTGACCGCTTCACTTATTTGGGAAGTACCATCAACCAGTGCCAACGGGTTGATCTCTGACGAAATCTCAGCACGGATACAGAGGGCTAGTTTCGCATTTGCCAGTTTACGCCGTCTCTGGTGTAGACGAGATGTTCGACTATCGACCAAAGGGCGGGTGTACTGCTCATCAGTCCGCTCCGTCCTCCTTTATGGTTGTGAGACCTGGTCACTGAGAGTGGAAGACATGAAAAGGCTAACTAGCTGTCTTTGAACATAGGTGTCTGCACTCTATTTCCCGTGTAAAGTGGTATAATAAGGTGAGCAACATTGAAGTTAGGCGTAGAGTTCTAGGTAAACAGGGGAAATCAATCGACGAAGTCGTGAAGCTACAAAGACTGAGATGGTTAGGACATGTGTTACGTATGCCAAGTCATCACCTCCCTCGACGAGCAATGTTAGCGGATATAGGGTCAGACTGGAAAAAAGCTAGCGGAGGTCAAACAAAAACTTGGCATCAGTCAATGGAATCCACAACAGTTGGTCTAAGCTACGTAGAAAGGTGTAGACTTCCAGGCTGGGGTCCTCGGGACGGTAAAAATCTATGGTTGGAAACAATTGATGACATGGCTCAAAACCGTTCTCAGTGGCGCAGATGCATCCACTCCCTGTGACTTATGATCTTCAATGAAACTGTTTTGTTCTTCGTTATTACTCCTCCTTTGTCTCACACCTCTGCTCACTGTTTCGATTATGCTTTTCTTGTACTTTCTTCTCTTGCTTCGCGTGCTACACGGAGTGTGGCGACTTGAACTTCCGCACATTTGTGCAAAGTTCTCTATCGAAAACAGACAGACAGACAGATAACCAGTCAGGAAGTCTACACCTTCATATGTAGCCGGCTTGAACTAAATGTTATAGATTTCATTGACTGATGATGTCATGTTTTGGTTTGACCACCACTGGTTCTTTTCCAGCCTCATCCTATGTCAGCTAACATCGGTCGTCTAGGAAGGTGATGGCTAGGCATACATAACACATGTCCTAACCATCTCAGTCCATGTAGCTTCACAGCCTCGTCGATTGATTTCCCCTCCCACCTAAATAGCACTCGACGCCTAACCTGAATATTGCTCACCTTATTATACCACTTCACACGGGAGATAGAACGCAGGCACCTATGATCAAAGACAGCTAGTTAGCCTTTTCAGGTCTTCTACTCTCAATGGCCCACAGACGTAAATGAGGGCGGGCCGGAAAGAATCACCAACTATGGGAAACTATGGGAATAAACAAGAACAAACCAATCGCCAAGCAAAAAATATGCAGGAGAAAGTGGAGATGGACTGGACACTTGCCCGCTGAGGAGGCCGCTGGGTGACATCGCGTGCGCGTCAGGTCATTGCTCGCGTGGAACCAGACCGAAATGGAAACGGCGAGTGGGACGTCAGTGCAAGAGTGACATGGAAGAGATCGTGTGAAGAGGAGTTGAAACAGTATGGACTAACTAACATAAATGCAGGTGTAAAATGCAGCAGTAGACAGAAGCAAGTGGAGACGTGCAGTTGAAGCTCTATGTTCCACTAAGAACCCAAGGGAACAATAATACAATAATAATAAATTTTAATTCATACATTGGTGGTTAAGTGGTATTGGTACCCGCCAGCGACTTACGTGGTCCAGGTTTGATTCCTGACTGGCTTACATTCCCAAACCTTGCCTAATTTGTCAGCCGCTAGTAAGCCCGGAAAGGTTAAGGGTGAAGCTGGCAACTTCACACCATTAGTGGGACATCGCTATTGATGTTTAACTCAAAACACAAAAGAATTAAAGGAAAAGTCCCAATTCAATTGACCATCCATCTTGTAGAATGACATTTTCCGTGTTTTGTTTGCTTTCTGAGTGGAAGATACCACTTGAAACTTGAGCTTTAAAGTTTCAGTTGTAGTGGTGGTGTTTTCCTCTCTATAAGATAGTAGGGTTCCTACTGCCACAGGCAATCTTCTCTCTTTTTCGGAATTAATTCTGGCTAGTAAACAATGCATGACTTAGGATTACGCATCAGTCGGGAAATGGACTTCGGCTATGTGCATGGTTAGCGAGCTTTCTGTTATCGACGAACGACGCCAGTATAGTATAACTTAGTGTGTTTTCAAAAATTAGTTTGTAGGAATTTTATTTGTTTCAGTCTAGAGCACGGATTACTCTCAGTTAGAGAAGTTGGGTGTTTCGTCTCAGTCCGTACTCATTGGCAGTGTGCACCGACTGGGTTTCGAACTCAGGAACTTCCAGTTAGTTGCTTGATGGTATACGAGCTTGACTTGTTACCGGAAAGTCCTGGGTTCGAAACTCATTGGGTGCATACTGCGGTTGGGACACAAATCTTCAACAACGTGACTCCATTTCATCTTGTCCTCTTCAGCAGCTGGTTTCGTAGTCCCTAATCTGCCGTCCAATCATCCTCGATATCACCATCTGGCTCCATCTTCTCAGCGTGTGTCCGACCAATCTTCGTTTCATTCTGCATACTTGTTAGGTAGTAGGTTCAACAACTAAGGTAGCTGTTGATAGAAGTCTGCAAATTGTTGGAAATACCTTCTGTGACACGCTGACTAAGTTTATGACGCGTATAGAAGAAGTGATGGACTGATTTTGTATATGCGTTGAAAATTTGAATCTTGTTGTTTATGCTGGCTGAGTGAAACAGATTTCCAAACTAGTTTCAGGTTGATGAAGGTGTATCTCGCCTTTTCGATTCTGGCTAGCTGGCTGGCGGTGCGTACTGATGATGAGTCAGAATCCAGGACAAAACAGCAGACTGTCCAGTACTCCACTGTTGGTTTTTTTTCAATGCTTCTCTGACTGATATATCAATCCGTGGTGTAACCAAAAACAAATGCAATCCCTACAAACTAATTCTTGAAAATTAATCTGATGCCCGCTAGGATGGTCGGGGGTGGGTGCCTTGCGCTGCGGTTTGGCCACCCCTCCGTACACCTCTTGAAATGCTCCCATATAACCGGGCGTCTTACATAGCCTCTCCTGAGGAAGTCCTACTCACTGCCTTCACGTGGCGGAGGTGTTTTTCACCGAAGTGAGAGGGCAAAAGCGGATGCCTGGCGCTCTTCACCGGGTTGACTGTCCATTGGATGACAGTCTAGGGGAGATGGCTAAACCTTGATTCCAAACCTCCAACGACTGGTGTATAAAGCTCACCGGAGCTCACCGTCAGACGTATGGACAAAGGGCTTATTGGATGCCCTGGATGTCTGGCCCCATTCAAAAAGGCGTATGAACCGGACTCCGGTCACCGGCTGGCTTCCAATGGATAGTGGACTCCCTACTCCACTCCTACTGCCTTGTAGGTCACACTTGGTTGTGTAAAGGCTAGAGCTGCACTCTCAAACAAAAGGCCGAGCGATGCTGGGGACATCACTCGTACCTAATTCCATGAAACTTCATGAACTCTCTGCAACATCAACCAAATTCCAGTACTGGTCCAACAACGTCGCCTTCGGTGGTTTGGCCATGTTCTGCGCCGACCAGTGACGGTCTGGTCCAATCAGTTCTAAATCCCTGGCCATTTCCATCTTGGCGATGTCTCAGGGGTGGACAGCTGAAAACATGGCTTGGTACAGTCAAGGCTGATATGGAGTGCCTGGGCTGGGGCTACAAACTTCTACGGACTCCGTCTGTGGAACAAGAATTGGATAACCCTGTCGCAAAACCTTGCATCAGATCGCCGCGCCTGGGCAGCGGTGATTCGAGATGTTCATGAAGCCGGCTCATCCTCCCGTAGGAGATAGCCGAAGTAAAGTAAGCAAGTAGTGACTGGGTACAGGATGAAGTTACCTGGAGCTCTTTTAGTGAGAAGTTTTGACCAGTGGGGTCCATCCAGTTGGCAGTAAGGATTGAGTTCCCGCTGGTAAAATTGGTTAGTGGTCGAGCTTAAACCACGAATCCGTAGAAGATAGAATTCCTGGACTGGCCATTGAATCAGGTACCGATGGTTGAATGGTATACGAGCCCCTACCTTGTGACCGGAAGGTCCTAGGTTCGAAATCCAGTGTGGGTGCGTCGTACTGGTCAGTTAGTCATAAAGAGAAAGAGGCTGATGATCACTGTGTATGTCATTTTGTGGAGACGTAAACCAAGATCGCAATACTACTCACTAGAAGCCAGTTAGTTACCTTTGAATCATTAGATCCAATGATTTTGTTGTTGTCGTTTGTAAAGCCTGCTCACTTTTTCAATGTTTTGTCTTTTAAATTTTAGGAACATGTTACATCAGTTCTAGCCAATCTGTTACACGCTGTACCAGGTCAATTTTCATCATCTAAATCTGAAGCTGCTGATACAAAATTGCGTAATCCGCGTGTTTCGCGTAGACAACCGATTATTGCACGTCGTGGTTCTCGACTTCGTGGTATGCTATTGGCTTATCAAAAAGACACTGTGATGAAACGTCAGAATTTAAATAGTTCAGAGTGAATAGTGTACTACTGACAAAAATAGGAACAGCAATGGCAAGGGAGGAGTAGTCGGCTTTTTGGTGCACAAAATAAAAACAGTCAGCTACCTTTCTTAATATTTGCTTTACTCATCTGGTCTATGCTTAGCCTTCTTTCCATGTAAACTTTACTCTCTTTTTTCTCGTTCAAGTGTAAATTTGTTTTCAAATATATTTATACGCATATATTCATTTTTATTTTTAAAGCTAATCTATGTTATAGTTAGTTGGGCATTGGCGGCTCCAACCATGCACATTTGGTCCGGCTGGGTGGGGGGGAGGGGTTCAGTTGCTAGCCGACGCACACTCCTAAACCTCGCTTAGTCTGTAGTAAGCCTGGTGTAAAGGATGACGTGTGCGATTTCCAACCGTATAATGAGGGCCAGGGTGGCACACATCAATTTGAGCCACCTATGGCGCCGTCACGACATTAGCCTGGCTGTCAAAGGTCGGGTATACAATGCTTCGGTGAGGGCTATCTTGCCCTACGCCTGTGAAACCTAGCCTCTCCGAGTAGGCTGAGGATATGCGGAGACTCTGCGTGTTCGATCATCGCTGTCTCCGTAGGATTGCTTGCGTTCGATGGATGGCATCATCGCGTGAGTAATTCTTAGGGTCGGTGGCGTGTGTTTGAACACAGTGGAGATCACCATTCATCGAGCGTCGTCATCTGGAAACACCTACTTCGGTGGCTTGGACATATGCTGCAAACGCCATCCCAGAGCCTAACGTACAGGTCTCTGTTCGCTAGCCAGCCCTGGGATGGGATGGAAAAGACGGAGAGGTAGGTGGTCAGTCCATGACATGGCGTTGTGGGAGGAAGGATGTTTGTGCTAGATTAGCATCGTTTGGTACGTCACGACTCTCTGGTTGGGGTCCGCGAGATAGCTCGAATCGATGGCTCAAAACGTTATCGGATATGGTGGAGAATCGTAATCAATGGCGAATGTGTTGCAATTTCCTTCTTTCATCCTTTCCCGATGATAGTTTACGAATACTGTTTGAACTTGTTAGGCACGACTGTTTTCATTGCAGATGAAGTTCTTTATGCGTTATCTACTTTTGTTCTTTTACTTTTGATCTATGTTGTTTTATTATTGTGCAGCGCATCTTTCTTGGTGCCATATCGTACCAAGTTTTTTCTGCTTTTAAATAAATAAATAAATAAGCTTGGTAACTTCAAATCTCAGCTTGAATTCTTATATGCTTCACTTAGAACGCAAAGAAAATGAAGCAAATGTTTTAGTTAGTTAATATTCAAGTGAGACTGACTACGGTGATGAGTTTCATGGTGATCTAGTGTCTCGCTGTCACTAAGTTGGAAGTGAGGACAGATAATCCACTATGACGTTGGTTGCAGGTGTGTCGCGCTATGTTACGAATCAACAGAAATTGGAGTTCACGGTCGATTGGGCTGTATTCCTGTGGTTAAAATAAATAATCAGCGGTGTCTTCTCGTAACCAGAAAACCCTGGCGCGATCCCCGATAGAATCATGGATGCGTACTGCGGAAGAGTTGCGGGCCGGGATGAAATAAATATCCATTATTGTGTGGTTTTCAATGCTTCTTTAACTGATATTATATAGAACCTAATTTTCCTAAAATACTACATTTATCTTTACATCACTGGTTGTATTTCCCTCTCCCCACTTATGACCTTGGAATCTTATTGGTTGTCGACTTTTTTTAATTTATCAATGTAATTTATATCCCTCAGGATCATTTAAAGCATATATATATATATATATAATATATATATATATAAATATATATATTATATATATATACGCAAGTCCTGTCAATCATTTTTACTTCTGATGCGACACAATTGAAGCTCTCCATATCAAAGATAGGTCTTCTCTTCTTCCGCAGAGGTTTCGGTGGTATTTTGTTGTTATTGTCGTTTTTGTTGCTGATATTGGTGTTAGAACAGTAGGCTCGCAAATCGACTAGGTAGGAAATTCGTTTGCGCAGCTATCAAGTGTATTAACGGTCATATCATTAACTGATCTTGGTTCAGGATGAAATCTAACTTTAATTAGTATTAGTGAATGTGCTTGTCGTTAATTATTTTATAGAATGATAGGTAGTTAGTGAGGTAGAACTCACTCTATACCAGGCTACGGACCGATACTTATTGTCTGGGCGCTGATCATATTCTCCGGGTTACCCAATTTATCATAAGTGGAACGAGATTCCGAACCAGGAAGTCGAGTGCCTAATCCAATAAGCCTCCTCTTCGCATAATGATAGTCAACTTGATTTTGTAAGTATTTCTATTCTCATATACTGAATGAATCATTCATTGGATAGAAATATATACTTGTAGTCTCAGTGAAACGGTGGAAGACGAAGACTTGTACATGTATACCTTATCTTCAACGCACCATTTACACAGATCTTCGCTTTGTGCTACTTCTGGACTTCCTTCATGTTGTGTTTCTTTGTGTTCCCCTTTCACGTCTCCCATGTATCTCCACGACACTGTATCATTTGCCTTCTCTAGCATCAAATTTATCTCCCTTCTATTATCATTATTATTCGTTATTGTTAGCAGAGAAACAACGTCTTCTGATTGGTTGTTTTTTTGCTGAAGGTTGCTCTGTTACCTCTCTTTGTGACCGTTTCTCAGAAAGTTAAGCGTATATCTGCGAATCATATTTCCACACGTTAACTCCGCTCTGATTGGCTGGCGATTTATTCAAGGTTAAGCTTTGTTATTGTTTTTTGCTCAGGACCCTCATTCGGGAGGTGAACATTGACGTAAATTACTGTCTACAATTTTTGGCTGGTTTGCTAGCTCTCACTAAAGTTGCATACCACTCACATTCAGCAGTTAGTAGTGCTTGCTAGCGCACCAGATCATTCAAGTGATCTGGACACGGGACGTCTGTTTCCCTTGTTTTAAGGCTGAGTTCGTCATGGGTGCACCCGGTTTAACTCAGCTCTGAGAGTCGAATCAGTTCAAATTATCCAGCTTCGGGCTAGCTACTAGTAACATCTCCAATTCGCAATTTTCAAATCGATCGGCAATTTACACAGTTCAAGGAGGTGAAATTTTACCATCAAAGTTTCCCGTTGGAAGACAAAAGAACTCAAATTACACAGACACACACACAGTATAAGATCTGCTTGATACCATAAATGATATTCACCTCAAACAAGATTTCATAGTGGATAGAATTTATTTATCTGAATTTCATGACATATTCCGTCTTTGGGGTAAGTACTTGACAGCAGTCTATCAAGTGGGGCTGATTATTCTGTATAATGGCTCGTGGTTCCCTTGTTAACAAAAAAGGAAACATTCACTTTATTATTATTTGAACGCAACCGTGGTACGTTATGCGCACCAAGAGATGAAACATAAAAGTGGAATATAGAATAAACGAGGGACAAAATCCAGGAAGCAAGAGTAGTCATAGCTATCAACAGAATTCAAAGGATGGTTCATCACTTCATATTGCCATAAAAAGGAGTCGAAAGGAGGAAGTTACAGTTTTTTCGCCACTGATTTGAACTGGGAGTGGTGAGATGCGCCAACAGATGTTAATCTAACACAAATATCTTCAAAAACTTCAAATATCTTTCATCATCGCACCACGTCATACGCGACCCTCTCCATTTTGTCTCCATGAATCTCAAGGCCAGTGAACATCGGGCAGTATGACAGTCCTTGGAATGACATTTGTAGAACATGTTTAGGCGAAAGAGGCCGGTGTCTCAGCATGATAAATGAAAATTGGTGAAAGACAATGTCCAACGAGTCTAAACCCACCCTATTACTTACATAACGATGCCGTGGGTTGCAAATAGTTCTGCATAGGCAGTGTTGGCCTAATACAAACAGTCATAGCATATCTTCTTCATCTGGGGAAGGCCAGATTTAACAGGCGTAGAGCAAAACTGTATGCAATGAAACATTATAAACCTGACCTTTCACAGTCAATTCTTGAAATTAATTTCTGTTAATAAATTCGCCTTCTAAATTGAAGCTACTGATAAATTTTTAGTAGCCTAAGATGGAAGACAAATTTCGACAATTATCCTGTGTGTGATCATGTTTCTTTAGCTGACGTCCAGTACTCTCCATTGTTGGTTTCCACTGGTTCTCTAACTGATATCTATCTGTGGTCAAACTCGTGTAAAAAAGATCTACTCCTTACAAACCAAACTCTTGAGAGGATAACAAAGTTTTTATATGAATTACATAGTAAAATAAAGACCATGGTACAAACTTTGCTGAACTTCGTAGACTAAATTAAACAATGTGTCATATGCTGCGTGGTCAGTATCTACAATTGGTTGCAATATAGATGAATTAATATCTCTACTCTGTCCTTTGCTCATCCAAGCTGGGATGTGCTCCCGGATATGTTTCGCGACGAACATCCTGCAAAGTTAGCTCTACATGAAATGGTTGAAAATATAAGTATATAAACGTGGTTTGGACACTTGAGGTAAAATTTCCTTGACATTAAGGTGAGCCAGTGAACATTGAGGGTAGGTTATTCGTAAAATGGCAGTGAAGAACTTTCTGTCAATGATCTTATCAACTGTTTTGCTTTTAATTCTTCACTTGTAGTGTCACCCTTAAATTATAAGTTAAAGTGCGAACCTTCTTTAGCTTCCTTGTCCTTCTCTGTATTTCTTCCGCATAATTTTCTTTGCCTCCTTCAAAACATGCACAATATTTGCTTGAAAGACGATTTAAAAAAGGTTCAGGAGTACATTTTTGTATCCAAGGTCATAGTAATCATAATAGCTGAATAACTGAAGACTTCAGGTAATTAGTTTTATATGTCCAGCAGAGGCAGCATATACCACGAATGTCAGGAACGCTTATCTCATTTATTGAGATACCGTGATGGCGAGCTACCTAGAATGTTGGCCACATTACAAACCTGGCTGATAGAATTCAATCTGCACCAAAGAAGAGGAATAGACACATTATACTAGTTACTGACTAATATCCAATCAAAAATATTTACTACAGTCCTACATGAGGTCAATCGCAAGCGCGAATAGCTTAGTGGTAACGTTTCTGACTGCAGCACTGGGTGACACGGGTTCGGATCTCAAAGGGACATGAGTTCCTTCAAGGTTGCAGATACGCCCTGCTAATGAGTGCCAACTAGCACGAAACCTAGGTCCAAGGCTTCCTGCCGATTGCCTCCAACCATCTAATATC